TTATAAACGTCTGAAGTTTGTAATGAATCCCACAATGAAACAATCAATTTTCTCCGCAAACACTCATTTCTTCTCCTCTCTCTATCTCATATCCACTCTCCCCCTCCTTTTCGTTCCCTCCTCTTCTGTTTCACTCTTACCCTCCTCTCTCCGCCTCCTCCTCCATCTCCATCTCCTTCTCCTTCTATAACTGCTGCTATATCTCTTAAAAGTCATACCTCAAAGATTGTCTCCTTCCACAACTATCATCTTTCACATAGTTAAAATTAACATCTAAGTTACAATTAATATCTAACTAAAGTTTAACAAACAGATGTTAACTATACAAATTAGATTGTAAGTTTAACAAAAATATGTTAACTGTATAACTTAGGTGTATAGTTAACATCTATTCATTAAGCTTATCATGTGATTTGGTTCATTAACTAATAAACTTTAAAATTAACATATAACTATAAACTTAATATCTATAGTCAAGCATTAACAACTATTGTATAACATTAACATCTACCATTTACAGTTAACATTTATCATCTATGATTAACATCTGCAATTCTAAAATTAATTTAAAAAAAGCTTAGATGTTAACTTTAACTATTAGGTATTAACTTTAGCATAACTTTGAAATATGACCATATTTAGCCAAAGGAGACAACATTTGAGAAACACACTGACAATTGTGGAAAGAGAAAGATGAGATGAGTATGGAGATGGAGGAGACTAGAGAAGGGTGAAAGTGAAACGGAAGAGAAGAAAGAAGAAATTGGAGATGAGATAGAGGAGAAAGGAAGAAAGGGGAGAATGAGTGGAAGAAGAAAAAGAAGAAGACGTGGCAGATGAAGAGAGATGAGGATGGAGTTGAGATGGAGAAGAAATAGAAGGGAGAAAAATGAAGTTTGGTGAAAGAAGGAGGAGGAAGGAGGATGGGTGAAGGAGACAGGAGGTTGGAGGTGTAGGGCGGAGGTGAGATCGAGAAGAGAAGAGGAGGGAGGTGGTGGACTGGAGAAAGAGATACGAAAGTACAAGAGGAGGTAGTAGGAGGAAGAAAATGAAAGGTACATTAGGGATGAAGGAAAATATGATATGAGGAGGGCTTAAACACATAAAAAGTTTAATTTTGGTGCCTATTTATATGTCCAAAAAGGTCTTGTGCACATAAGGTTCACAAATTTGGGGTCTAGACATAATTTTTACAAAAGAAATTGTTTTAAAAAAGAAGATCAAGAATTTTGTTTGGTAGCTAACGGGCCCTAATGTATCCTTCATTTTCTTGCTGTGATTTGTTTTTTAAGGCCCATTTAGCTTGGTGCTCCAGCTATATTGGCTTGGGCCATTATATAGCAAAGGAAGATAAACTAATGTTTGTTTGAGTCTCTCGTGTTGGTGTTGCGTATAAAACAGACAAATTAACAAGGCACAGAATATAACGTTTTGTATTTTTTTCGTAAGCACTACATTTCCTTCCATCCCTCCCACCGTTGCTTGATCCTACAATTCATGGCTTTTCCATGGATTATAGCAATATTTTACACAGAGGTAACTTTTGATGAAACCATGACTTTTTCATTTGGTTAGTTGACCCTGAATCCTTGGGCTAGGTTGAATTTCTTTGGATAACAATATCTTAATTAAAAATATATAAATTAACAGAAGAACAGTTCGTCAGTTCACCCTCATTTTTCCTTTCTCTTTTCTTTTTGGCTAAATATTAGAAAATCTCCCCCTAACTTCGGACGATCACAAGTAACCCCCATAACTTTCAAACTATCAAAAAGCCCCCCTTTAGTTAGGGGTTTTACAAGATTATCAGAAACTCTCCTTTTAACTTCAAGAGTTTTATCAAAAAGTCCACTAAAGTGTAAATTACAGTTTACACTATCCCATTGCATAGTTTTATCCGCTCATGTAAAAATTACAGTGAGCATTGCTTGGAGGATTGATGATAAAAAAGTTAAAGTGGTTTTTTTTTTCAAAAATTCCCTAACTTAAAGGGGGGTTTCTTACATTGTAAAAGTTATGTTGGGGTTATTTAATAATCATCCAAAGCTTTTTTTTTTTTATAGCCATTCTTATTTTGAGATAAAAAAAATAGAGTAGGATATTGGTAATTTGCTAGTGTACGTCAGCCTTATCAAATAGTTGACTGTGCGAATTGGTGTTTTCCATCCTAAATTGAACATGTTTGTCCACGACACTGCCGATCTTGGGAGATGGTTACGGAGATTTGGATCCTCTCCATTACAAAAAAGTAGTGGAGAGACCACTACTTTTAATCTCAAGCGTTGATTATTTAGTAGACGGTTATGATACAATCTAAATCTAACACTTACCATACCCCGTGTATTGCACTCATTTCTAATTTGCACTAAAAGAAAAAATCATAACCATCAACTAGATAATCAATAGCTGTGATTATGTAGTGGTCCCTCCACTATTTTTTTTGTAGTGGAGATGATCCGAATCCTGGTTACGGGGCTTTGATCTCGAATGTGCACGTATTGAAAACGGACCATGAGTATTGCGTAGGGAGTATAAATGAAAGGGATACGTCATACTAGATATTAATATCAGAGGAAACCATGGATTGCGCTCATTTGGGTGTTGCTAACGATGCACACATCTGAACCATTACATTAGAGCAGATTATAGTTGATGTCTTAAATAAATACCATATCAGCAATACAGAAAAACGCACAAACTCTATTTGCTCTTTATATTTCGCATTTGAGTTTTTTTTTTTTCCTGTGTAAACATGCATACAGATAATAGTAGGAAACTATGTTCGCATTTGATCCAAACGTATTCAAACTTGGACCAAATTCATATATACTAACCCAATACCTTCATTTGTAATGTATAATCCCATGAAAATGTTTGTTGCATTACCTTACATACCATTGACATACATAATCCACATAAGTCATGCATAAGTTCTTCCATAATCTAATATACATCAACTCCGTTGCATCCCACTATTAATTAAACCATGCTTATGAAATTGGATATGGACTAGACTATTTGTATCCCTTGACGTCCTCACATGTGGATTGTTCAAATAACGGTCTTCAAGTCCCTTCCGCTTTCTAAAACCTCAACAAATAAGATGGAAGTTAGCGACTTAATTACGGTTTTATACTCTATAACGTGCTTCGGAGTTATAATAACAAAAATTGAAAGTTACATAAATTTTGTGCTCTCATATACAGTCGGCGAAAAGACCACACCAACCTGGCATCCGAAACATCTTGGGCTTTCAAAAGGGCCCAACAAGTTGCCAAACCCGGACAACAGATATTTGCCAAATTTACGACCATATATAATCGCGTGATGAGTTGGCAATTTTGATCCACAGAACTTAGATAGGCAATGTACGTATCCTAAAATTATCCTGTATCTAAGTTCATGAACATAGGATGCTCTTCAACGTGAAGCTGGCTCCAATCACCCTCCCTTTACAAATCGCATGATGCATGTGGTTCCCAAACTGACCTTTGATGAGTAACCCCCCTTAATTAAATGCACCAGAAAATAAATAAAAAAAATAACAAAAAAGAGAGGAATTAATTCACGCCCATGTGATCACCGACGCTCAGTGCTTCCCTATCCTTGATCCATTATTGCAACAACAACAAAAAAAAAAGTCAGAAAAAATAAAAATAAATAAATAAATAAGAGGGTTACTTCAGAGATCAACATTAGATTACTGAATCCAAGAAGCATCCTCCTATGGATCAGCAGCAGGTGTCTTGGATCGCGAGGACATGCTCATCGTGGTCTCTGAACCAAAATATATAAATAGAAATAGTTAGGAGTTTTATTTTATTGATCACCCTCGTTACATGTGAGTGATGCGGTGATTTATTGTTAATTAATTTTGGTTGAAAATTAAACCCCCAGGAGAATGATGAATATAATGATCAATTGAGAAAATCCATGAAGGAGCTAGCAAAACTAGCTAAGTACTCCTCGGACTCACTAACTGATTGCTGACATGTAGTCAGGGGTTCTTCTTTTTTTTGTAGCAGGCGGCGTATATGACTGTTGATGGTGCAGTGAACAAGGATTCATGTTGTACTATGTGCCATTTTTGGAACAGATTATCTATATAAATATACGCACACAGATTGGACATGGAGCGTACAAGAACTGGACAATCGATCTGTTGGAGGTGCGCGAGACTGGCGGAATTGTTGAGGAAGTACAGACATTTTAAGAACACGTACGTAGGGGAGCAAGATGCTGTGAGCCATACGAGAGGAAGATGGGGAGACGTGCAGTTTGGAGATTTCAATTCCCTCTGTATGGTTGATATGTAACACCCCGCCCGCTCATACGTGGAGAATTCCGAACTGATAATTACGATACAACAGGATGCGTCGAGACACATCAAATCTGAAAGGTATGTCGATACACAGATTGGAGCGTACACGAATAGTGATGTATAGGTGTCGAGAGAGCACAAATCTTATTGGAACGTACGACATGAGAGAAGAATGTTTTGATACGTGCATCTTGAGTGTAGGGGATCAATTTGAAGATTTCAACCGCCTCTGCATCGTTCAGGTTGCTCTTCTCACTCGTGGAGTAATTCTGATAAGATTTGTACCCATGTTGAGGGTCTAAGAAGCACCGATGGGATACGATAGATACATTGATGCATATATTTGGGAATATCCGATACATACGGCCTGTCCAACAAGGTTGCACGCGTGCGGTGACCTCACCATGGATATATATATATGCATTATACATGGTTCACAATATAAGTATTGAGCCTGATATGTATGCGTATCTGACAGTTGGCTGAAACTATATGATTTCACAAAAGAAGTATCTGTAGTCTACAAATCTGATAAGTGTTTACTTTCATGGATTTGGTGCAACCTGAAATCTTTATGCATTGATCACATTATAATTCTAAATTGACCCTAGAATCAAATCAATTGCCAAAATCACATCAGATATCACCGTAAAGCGTCACAACCAAAGAACAAAACAACTGGATAAAAACACAAGCTCCTTGAAAACTTGCTACAAATCCTAAATTATCATAAGCCACTAAACTTCACCAGCACAAACACAGAAAGAACAGGTACACTCTAAATCTCCAAATGAACAATAAAAAAAATTACACAAAAAAATTCCCTCCTTTCTCTATTTCTAAGACCAAAACAGCATCTGCTGCTGTTTCTGCATCTCCTTCTGCCTCCTCAACTCTACAACCTTCCGATGAGAATTCGAATGCTCAGACACCACGAACGTTGGGCTCGCCGCGGGCCTATACTCAGGCACGAGCCGGCCGGACTTGTACCGGACCCCACAAGCATTGCACAGTGTTTTGGGCCTATACTCAGGCACGAGCCGGCCGGACTTGTACCGGACCCCACAAGCATTGCACAGTGTTTTGGGGCCCATTGGGCCCATTCTCCACTGCGGAGTCTTATCACTCCCACAATGCAGGCATCTGCGCACACCATCGCTCACGTCTGGAATTATCGGGTGTCGGGTATTTGTACCCAAATCCGATGATGATGAGGAGGATGGGGATAGTTGGGTCGGGTTTAGGATTGGGATCTGAGATGCCCAGTTGCTTGGATTGGCTCTGGAGCGCTTGCTTCTTGTTTTTGCTGGGACTTGGTTTGATGTTGTTGATGATTGATTGGTTTGGTCAGAGGATGAGGAGAGGTTGATGGTGTTTGAAAATTTGTGAGAGTAGCAGTCCTCAACGAAATTTGACAGCCATTCAAGTTCAGCTACTTCTTCACACTGTAAAACAAAATGATAATTCAAAAAAAGAAACAGAAAACATATTCATAATTTTCAAATTGACAGACTTATACGCAATACTTTTTAAAGGGGGAAAACCGGCAACATAAGATAAATTATCAAATTTCATAAAAAAATTCTCATGCTTTGATTACAAAGATATATAGGTAAATTGCGTATAAATCCACAGACGTACTTTTAGTATCACTCGATGCCCATCAACTATTTTATTTGCATTTAACACCACAGAATTGGTGGTTTTTGAAGAAAACTTTATCCATATTTCCCATCTCTCTTGAGAATAAAAAAAAATGCTAAGTGCTAATAATACTACTAAGGAGTGATAAGAATGAGATAACTAATAGCAATTTATGGAGTTTAATTTCTAGATGAATTATGTTTGATTGAGGAGGAACCCTGTATTTAAATTAAAACAGATTAGAGATTTTCTTCTTGCATTTAATAAATAATACTGAGCTCCTCATAACAGAATGCATTTTTTTTATAAGTTTTGTCTAAATAAAAACTTGCTATCACTTATCACTGAATTTTATCTGTACTTCACAGGGGAACACTTTTTCCTACTTTGAGAAATAGAATGCCCCATAAAAAGAAGCAAGAGACAAGACGCTGACTAAATACCCAAATAAATAAATAAATAAATAAAAAGCTAAAGAAATAAGAAAAATTATACATCACACTCACTGCTCACTTTACTTCAGCAAAAAGAAAAGAATTTCTCAATTTCCACTAAATTACAGGACCTGAACGCAAAATTGCAGAAAATTACCGGCTGGCTGAAGTCAGTTGAGACATGC